GCCTCTGGCCTCCCAGAGAGGATTTTGCTTCTGACCTGGCCCATGGGCCACCTGAGCAGTTAGGCCTGGGCGGGTGCTGGGCTGGTGGCCTGAAGCTCGCCGAGTCAGCGGCGGCACCTGTGACCCTGGGGGGAGGGAGGCGCTGGGAGAGCCAGCCAGGGCTGGCCACCGCCAGGAAGGGGCTCCCGGCCAGCCCCAGCGGCCGGAGTGCCCGCCTCAGTGCCCCTTCCAGCACCCGGGCCCCCAGACACCAGGCGGGGCACGTTGAGCAGGTCTTCTTCAGCAGGGGCAGGTGAGACCGGCTTGGGGTGCATGGGGCCGGGCTGTCCTAGGGTGCTGGGCCACAGGGGTGGGTCTGGGGACACCGGTGCCAACCGCGAGACCAAAGGGCGGCTCTGGCTAGGCTGGCCTTCCCTCGAAAGGCAGGCAGCGAGTTGGGGTACACCTGTGCTGGGTGTCTTCTGGGTGTCCGAGGTCAGCGGGCTGCGGGGCTTCAGGCGGGGGCCGGGTCTGCTGCGCCCCGATGTCTGGGCCCATGCCGGGGCCGCCCTGCCCGCTGCACTGGCCAGGCATCTCGGTGTGCTGTGGGGAGGGCGGCAGGCCCCGGCCCAGGGGCGCTGAGCCCGGTGCTCTGTCCTGACAGCTGTGCAGGCATCCTGCCGGAGGCCAGAGGCCAGCGCCCCCTCGCCGGGAGACAGGCATCCCCAAGCTGGGCGCCCCGTGCCGGAGGGGAGGCTGCTGCTGGAGGTGAGACCCCGGGTCTGGCCGGAGGGCGGGGTGGTGCCAGTGGGGGGCCCCGGGGGGGCGGGTGGCCCAGAGCAGGCCGGGGTCCTGCTTGGGTCACAGCAGCCTTTCACACTGTGCCGCGTCCTGCCCCTCACGCCCGCAGCCCCCCATGACCCCTGCAGCCCTCCCAGCCCGCAGAGCCCCCAGGGCCCTCCAGGGCCCCACAGGCCTCCATGGCCCCAGGCCTCCTGGCTGTCTGCCCCCCGGGGCATGGTGTCTCCTGCGGGTTACCGAGCTCACAGGTCAGGGACCCTCTGTGAGGACGGGGCCTGTGGGCACTGGGCCGGGGGGGGGCTCCGTTCCCAGGGCGCCCGTGGGCGGGGGACCGGGAGCGTGTCCGTGGCCGTCCCCAGGCTGCCTGTCCTGCGTGGTGTGGGTCTTTGTTCTGCCCCCATCTTCAGGGGCGTCCTGCTGCCTGGTGTCCGGGCGCCGTCCGAGGCGAGCATGGCTCTGGCCTGGCAGTGCCCAGGGATCCGGCCGCGCCCGTGCACCCGGACTGGGGCGCCCTGGGACAGACTCACGGGGCTTCTCAACCCAAGCAGAGCATGCGCCCCGCAGCCCAGGGGGCGCCAGGCCCTGCGGCCCGTGCGTGGGCGCTGACCCTCACGCGGCCTCCCGTGTCTGCCTCCCTGCTATCTTCCCTCCCTGTCCCGAGAGCCGCTGGCCCTCGGCCGGATGCCGGACGGTGTCCGGGGCCCAGCCCTGGCCGGCCTGGCCCTCGCGGAGGCTGCC